CTATGTTTCTTTATGTTTTTCTTTAAATCTACAACAAATTGATACTGAGGTACTGAAACTCTTTACTGCATGCTACCCTGCTCCATTTCTATTTTTATCTTCTCAGTGCAGTTTAAGCCTCTGTATTCTAATGCCTAATGCACATTCCAGTAATGAGTGGTGTCCCCCTAGGGTCTGTACTGGGACCAATACTATTTAATATGATCATCAATGACACGGACAGTGGGACTGAGCGCACCCTCAGCAAGTTTGCCGACAACACCAAGCTGTGTGGTGCGGTCGACACGCTGGAGGGAAGGGATGCCATCCAGAGGGACCTGGACTTGAGAGTCCAGGCTTGAGAGGTGGGCCTGTGTGAGCCTCCTGAAGTTCAACAAGGCCAAGTGCAAGATCCTGCACATGGGTCGGGGCAATCCCAAGCACAGATACAGGCTGGGGGATGAGTGGGTTGAGAGCAGCCCTGCAGAGAAGGACTTGGGGGTATTAGCAGATGAAAACTGAGTATGAGCCAGCAATGTGCGCTTGCAGCCCAAAAAGCCAATTGCATTCTGGGCTGCATCACAAGAAGCGTGACCAGCAGGTCGAGGGAGGTGATTCTGCTGCTCTACTCCACTCTGGTGAGACCCCACCTGCAGTACTGCCTTCAGCTCTGGGGTCACCAGCACAAGACAGTCATGGACCTGTTGGAGCGGTTCCAGAGGAGGGCCATGAAAATGGTCAGAGGACTGGAACACTTCTGCTACGAGGACAGGCTGAGAAAGTTGGGGTTGTTCAGCCTGGAGGCCCCTTCTGACCCACCATTTTATGATTCTATGATTTTATGATTCCATGAACATGTTCTAATGAATATCTTTACCATACAAGAACAATATGATGACAAATAAAGATGTCATTGTCCCATAATTTAGAGAATACTTGGATTTAGATAGTGATATTTTTTCAAAAAAGACAATTTTTGTAAAAGTTATTGGGAAAAAATTCTGCTGCAAATTACCTAGTGTGAATCAAAATCAAATCTACTGACTTCCCATTGAAATTCACCTTTACTTATATGGAAACAAAATTAAAAAGTAATTCTGTAATTTGTTTAACTACTTTGAATAAATGTTTTCTTCAAATTTATTGCTGCAATCAGCTCAAATAAAAAAGATTTCTTCTGCATATTTTTTTCTTCTAAAAAGACTATTATAAGAGTTGCAAGGGAAATTCTGAAATTCATCCACATAGTCTCTAATTTAAGGGGATGGGGTGAATATTAAATGCAGAACTTGAAAATTATTGGGTTTGCAGGCTACTTTGGAACTCAGTTGAACTTCTGGAACTCCCTGAGCTGTCACTGAGAGAAGCATATAATGTCTGTGCTTCATTTTGATGATTTGGGGAAGTCAGTAAATGTTAGATGTTTTTACAATATGTATTTACATATTATGAATGCATGCTGAACTCTTTTCCTTCACATTTCAGAAGAAGTGTCAAACAGCATTAAGGAAATGTGAGTGTTTTTCATGACAATTAGAATTTGATGCACAGGCAAATTCTACAGTATATTAAATACATAAATGTAAGGAAAAAGATGTGCTATATGCATAAAGAAAAGCAGGCAGAATCACAAAACAGAGAACATCACTGAGAAATTTCAGAAGTGTTCACATTTTTTCCTCTAAATTTTTCACTACACATATTCTGCATATATATATTAAAAATGTATTTTGAACTGGTATTCCTCATGTCATTCACCTTTCTTGCATGTGATTTCCCGCATTAATACGAAACACTACATATTGACCTATATGTGGCTGTTAGTTATTATTTATTTTTTCATAGATTAGGATTTCTTATCAATTATGTAATTTTATGGTGAGAGTTGCCATAATAAATGTTTGTGCCACCCAGATGTCTTTACATAAACAAACGTGTAAGTAGTTTGACTGTTAACAGCACAGCTTTATATTATATTTGGTATTACTAACAAATCTTGATCTCATACTACCTACTTGATCTTCATTCAGTTCATAATTTACATATTTTCAAGTCTTCATCAATGAATTTTAAACACGTTTTGTAATTTAAAACATACATCATGCATGTCAACTAAGACTCCTGTATTAACATAATTATTATGCTGTAACCATGTTCTGTGTGTAGAGTTGCCAGTCTACATTCAACCACCCCCATAAAATAATTGTCATTTAACTGTTCGCCTCTTTACTGTTTTTTTCAATTTTATGTAGTAGGAACAGTAGGGGGCATTCAGAGCTTTAGATGCTAGATATGGCTGGATATGATCTTATGATGTTAGTTAACTGCATTTTAAATGTGTAGAATGCAGTTCAATTAAGTTACAGTATACCATATTAAATCCATTAATTCGTGTAATATACATTTATGCACCGTGAGCTTCTCATTTACTTCTTTGTTGTGGTGTTCATTATTTTCACTTAAGTTTTTAGAAGCATTTCTTTTACATAGAATTTTAATAAAATAGATGAAAAGCAACGATATATGAAAAATTAGTTGCAACAACTTTTAAATAATGAGCAAAATTATTTTCTTAAACTGAAAGCACATCCATTCTTAATGTGATCCTTACCAAAAAAAAACAGGAAAAAAAGTCTGACTTGAGTATATTACTTGCTGTGGTGAAAAACTGAAAAATGGCTATCCTTCTCCCCAGCTCCCAGAAGAAAAAACAAGGAAGAAAAATAGCCCAGGATTTCTTATAAGCTGTAGCCTCAGCTCCACAGATCTGAGAGAAACTGAGAGCTCTGAGGAGCCACCTGCCCTACAGAGCCTTTCAGCAAATAAGCAAAAGCCTCAGAAGCCTACAGACTCATAAGAATGTACAACAGGTATTAGGGTGAGGATGCCACTCTGGAGTTATTTGAGGATATGTGGGTGGAGATGGCTTTATATCAACATGGCATTTCCCTCATTGCATGACATGGATAATATTCTCCTGAGTTAGAGTGCTAAGTAGCAGGGGAAAGTTGGTGCCAGCAAAGCGGTCCACGTACTAAAGGTGGCCATTGTCTAGAGTGGAACACCAGGGCATTTACAAGGACAGAAGGACTGTGTACGCTTAATTTCGAAGTTTAATATGATCAAGATTCCCTTAAGAGACTTAAGGTCCAACATTTCTTGTGAGGACTGCTCACACATTTTCCATTATAAAGTTTTTGGGCAAAATCCATAAACAGCAGGAGATCTGATGACAAGACCTTTTTTGAGTCAGTGGGGTATAGAATCAGATGTATCCCTGCTCACTTGCTCCAGTGATCAAACCAGAGAGACTGGACAGCACACCTAATCAAGCTCCAGAATATTCTAGAAGTTTGGATGTATATGTGGGATTGGGGAGAAGTAGGTTCGAATTTACATTTCTCTTTCTGATCTTACTGAAATTCATCTTTCACTATTCCTCTCTCTCTGAAGTTCCTGCATAGCTTCCAGTTTTCTGTCAGTAAGTATAAAGAATCTCTTCAAGCAAATGGATAACATGCAATCAGAAAGTTGATTTTTTATTTTGTAGCAGAAATAAAACTGAAAAAAACCCCTTCCCCTTGACAAAAGGTATTCCCACAGTTCAACTGGTTTCTTCCCACATGCAACAGCTGATGACAATGAGAAATGCGGAGAAACTCCTAATCTGCAACTCAAACAACAGAATGACTAATTTTGGGTTTTGTGGGTTTTTTCTTGGATTAGTCAAGAGTATTATAGGATTTCCCAGAAGACTGTCACATGGGAGTATTTTATTACTTTATTTTCCTATATTCCCTGCATTAATATTTGATATTCATATCATAGTTATTGTATGGATTCCAATGGCTAAGTGTATAACCTTAAATATCAAATAGATTACTCAAGCAATGGCATCTCACACTGATTAAGTGTTTGCAATTTAGGTCTAACATTTCTTATTTTCTCACAGTTTGCCTTCCTGCCACATTAATGTAGACACTGAGAGTGCAATTCATTTGTTAGACTGTGCTTTGCCATTGCGATGCTGTAGGGTACCCTACCTGGAGTCCCTCACCCACTCCACAAGGACACGGAAATTCTAAGCATCCTCTGTCAAACCTTCAGGGCCATGCAGATGTCTCACTTACTGCGGGGCCTTAGAACATACTGGATTTCTGGTTTTGGGCAAATGAATCCTGAATAACCCTGTTGGCTCCTGTGATTACACTGACCAGACCTCTGTGGAATAAAATGGTGCATATACTAAAATTTAGGTCTGAATCTGGAGCTGAGTCCCACCTTTACATTCCAATAATTTCCTGATTACCCTGGCAAATTCAACAGCTTATGGTTACTACTCATATTTCACAGCCTACTTCCAGTCCTCAAGCAGTTCAGCTGACTATAGATGGTGTCAGATTTTAATCGCCTTCTTTCTATTTCTAAATACTAACCCTACACATCGACCATATAAGAATATACAGAATGAAAACAGAAGGTGTGCCATATGTTTGAAAACAGAATGCAACATACTTATCCTGCCCTTACTCTCATAATTTTTCCCTAGTATTTACATGTCCTTTCTGCTGCACATGCATACATGCAGACCATCTGGTTTGTCATTTATCTCTGCATATCAGTTCATTTACAATACACTCAAAATATACCAAGAATATTAATTTTATCTCAAAGTTTTTCAGGAATTTAATATCTAATAAAGTAAAAGAGACACAGTTTATGCAAATTTACATCAATATATATAAGATGCATAGTTAGAGTATGTCTTCATATGATTTTCCAGAAATAAGCAGAAGGTTTTTTCATACTTTTTAAATCTAATATCCTTTAGGTCAGTGCCCATCCAGAAGAAAGATATCTGGTATGCTTATATTGGAAGATTTTATCAGTCTTGGAGAAGAAATTACTGAAACAATGGAAAATAGATTTTTTTTTTTTAACTTGGCTATAAATTTGCCAGACCTAAAGAATATGTGCTGCTCTTTTCTGATGATGTATACAAATATTTTTTATCACTTCACCTGTTCATTCACTCTGGAGTGTGATGGCCCATGATGGATGAGAATCTTCACAATGTCTACATCTCCTCTCCAAGCAGCCAAGTGAATAGGAAAATAACCTTTATTATCTGCCACATTAGTTGATGCTTCATACTGAAGTAATTTGAGAACTATATCCCTGGAAAACAGGAAGTAGATCTAAAAATTGACAGGAAGCTTTTTTATTAAGTTTTTCATGAACATACATATTACCAAATTTCTTACCCTGAATAACAGAAAAAAACCCCTGTATTTCAAGTGAAACAGCTACAAAAATGAAGACCAATCATTTCTAAGAATGAAACAGATAGTAAAACATAGCCAAAATGTTATTAATTGTAATGGTTCTTACTTCTTATGAATACCCATCAACAATATTATCATCAGTTCTCTGAGTCTGTTTCTTGCAACAGGATCACCTGGCCACGGAATCATTTTTAGAATTTGCCAGTCCAGGCCATGTGCATGTCCCTCAAGACAAACCTTCCAGGCACTAAAGGCAGAGAAGTACTCCTGTCCCCATCATTGCTGGATTCTGGAGGCAGGAAGACAAGAGGGTAGCTTTATGGACACGGTTCCTGCAGTAAGGCTTAAGTCAAAGTTTTTCTTCTTGTTTAAGGCATTATCTCAAAGATGGAGGAACCAATTTAATCATGATCTAGTTAGATATATACTATCTTCTATGGAATAACTGCTTCTCTTTTCATTTCCCACATCCAGCTGCCTGAGAGCAGTGAGAAAAAAAGTTACTTTTATTATTTTAATTCTTATTATATTCCTTTCAGTATTTTCAGTGTGGCTTATCATACATTAAATGAAAGATTAGTATAAGCTGGTATATTGCATTCCTGATTTTTAAGCAGTCTCCTGTACTTAACTTCAAAAGTTAAATGCAAAAATCAGCTGTGTGGTATGATCATGTTATCAAGTATGTCAGAAAGTAAATAAATTCTGCCTTATCTCTCCATTTGTAATCTCATAGTTTGACACAGTCAGGCCTCATTAGTTATTAAGTTAATAGTATCTATGATCCAGTGTGGGCAGTTCTACACACATTTTTGCTGAATATGGAAACACTGCCTCTTACTGATTTGGCTCAAAAACTTGGGTGGGGGAAGTGGGGAGAGGGAGCTCAATGCAGCTTATGTTATGACTAAAAATGAAGCCCTTGACTACAAATTAAGACAGAAGGTAAATCCTGAGGCAATTCTTCTCCCAACCTTGATGGAACCTTATTTAATTGCCTATTGAGAGAAAAACGTGGCAAGTAAGAGTGAATATATCCAGGTCAAAAGAAACTCCAAGTTGTCTTCAAAAGAAATCATAGAGATACCACATCTAAGCTTTGAGGGAGACTTTAAGCTGGGCTTTGCTTACTCCTGCCAAGGTCAAATAACATGAAAACAACCAAGAAAGAGCAGCTCCACTACAGGAAGACTTTTGCTACACAGAAAGTTCCAGAAAAGTGACATCCGAGAGAAACTTTTTAGTACAGGTAAGGTTTGAGAGACTTCTCATGTAATTAATAGTTGGTCTTGCAGTAGATGGTCTAATGAAGGCTAGAGATACGGAGTAGTTTGAAAGGGACACAAATCAAAGGAAACAGAAATAGAACTAAGTGGGAGAAAACCAGCAAAAACCCCTCCACAACTAAAATCTGTAGATAATGATATACAGCAACTATTGGGAAGAATCTGTTGCAAGATCCAAGCTACAAAATAGAACCTAGGTCTCCTTCATCCTTCAAGAATGCGCTGACCCATCTCACTTCTCTAGGGTGAGTCTTTTTTAGTGTGCTGTCAGAACTGTTTCATTTTGTAGAAATAAATTTCAGAGAGGAGAAGACTGAGAGTCCTTAGCCCAGTAACATTACCGGGCTAAGTAAAATTACTTAGGGAGAGTGAGATTCAAGTGCCTGCCCCAGATATAATTTAATTACTTATATAAAGCAGAATAGTTTCAAAAGTAAAGAGAACTATCCCAAAATAACCAAGGAGAAGGGAATTCATCACATACATACAATGATCAAGCAGAGACTTGAACACTGGTGTCCAACAAGTATCCCAGCCACAAATTATTGGTTGGGTCATTAAGTCTTATGTTCTCACTTTTCCTGAAAACCTTTGAAATCTCTCAAGTTCATCCTAATGTAAAGTGTGAAAAATTAAACCCCCAAAAGTTTTCAAAGGACAAGAACTTCTCCTCAGTGGGAAGGCTCCTGCATCAAAAGACTGTACCCAATATTGATTTTGAATATAAAGTTTTAAATCTGAAACAGAGTGTAAAGGTATTTATTTGTTATTTGTGGTGACTAATGAAATTACAAACACCAGGTATCTGTCCAATTCCTTTGCTGACAGTGCTACCGTTGTAGCAGGATCAGTATGGTGGCTTGGATAGCAGGTCCTGAACCATCATGATTTATCATGAAATACCTCATGATGTATTTCAGTTTACTTTAATATAACAAGCTATAAATGTGATGTCAGTAACTGCTACTTACCCTGCTGTGTGAGGGTAAGGGGTCAGAGCAGCCAGTGGCCACTATGACCTTTTCAAAAGCTGCAGTTACGTGGCTGCTGTACATAAGTCCACATCTTGAAGTTCTCTCTGGCTTCAGCAGAAGTTTGGCCAACACTGTGTCTGAAAACACTCTCTGGCTTTTGTATGTTTTGGGATTTTATAGTTTGTATTGCTAGGATTCACTTGACATCTCTGATAGATTCTGTGTTGATACAGCAACATTTTTACTTTGCTGGGTAACTATTGGTTTATAGTCAGTATTAAACATACTAAAACCAGTTTTCGTCTATTTAAAACCAGCAATCTTTGCAAGCTAAGGCTTAGGCTTTTGTCAATCAAAAATGTGCAATGGCAAAGGAAACAATCCATTAACTAGAAACAAGAGAAATGTGATTTTCTCCCTTTTTAAAAAAGGCTGAGTTTAATAGACCATATTAAGGGCTTAGACCTAATTCCATGGAGGTAAAATATATTAATGGATGATTCTGAATCCTGCTACAGAACTGAAATTTTGGAAAATGCACAATATCTAGTTTAACAGTATTTTAACTTCATTTATTTATTCAGAAATGGAATATCCTATATTCACCAAGGGATTAATCTTGTCTAAAGAAAATATGCAGGTTTCTAGAATACAATCAAAGATACATCCTAAAGTTTTAATTTTTCCAAGAACGAATGCAAAAAATGTGAAATGAGTAAACAAAACATATAATTATTATGGATTCATATGTTATCTTATGGACAGTCCAAAATCACATTAAAGCCAGTGCAAATCAGTTTTAAATTCAGTTGGGTTTTGATCAGTTCCTTATCTCCCACAGCGGAATAACCCAAAGCCTTACGTCAATGTTTTCTTTAGTGAAAATCCAGTCACTGTTAACATGGTCAGTTTATGAACAGGATAGCTGGACTGCATAAAGTGGGGCAGCTCTTACCTCAGTTACAGTGGGGTCCATCCCACTAGAACTTTATAGACCTCATTAAAATCTTTCTTTCTTGTTCTGCCTTAATAACACCATGCAGTTGGCAGCATAATACAATGGAGGTAACATGTAGCAAGGGACAACATGTAATAACAGAGGTAACACAGAACAAATTACCAGGTGTAATAACAAAATATGTAGCAAGTTTCCACATTTTTTCACTGACAGGTCAATGCCTTAAAGCGTTCGCCCGCACTGGTATGCCTGGGCAGTCAGTACCCCTCAGTGGGGATTTTGCAGGCTTTCCCCAAGCTTGGTGAGACATGCATGTGGTAACTTGGATGGATGGCAGGGAGGGAAAAGCTACAAGGTCCCATACAAGGTAATAGCCATTTTTTTCCACCTTCAAGTGTATAACTACTAAATATTCTTATCGTGCTACTTTTACTTTGATAATGATTAATCTATACTGTTCTTTTGTTTCACAGTATTGCTTCCTTAAATATTCAACGCACTATACGTGTGTACGTACACACACAAGTATACTACAAAATTTTCTGTTGCAATTTCCCACCAGCTAAAAAGCACTAGAGACACCATTAGCAGTAACAACCATAAATTTACTCAAAATTGAGGAAGAATTTAGAAGAACCAGTATAGAATCAATAGCTTCTAAACTGCATTTCCCATTTGTCTTTACTACATGCTGATATCAATGACAGTATAGAAAATTCTTATATTAATATATCCCATGGGAAATAAGATTATTTTAGTAAGTCAGGGTTTGTCAATTTTCTGTGAAAATCTCAGTGCTATGCTACATATTTTTAAGTTACGCAGTTAAATACCATTCTACATAAAAACTAAATGTGAGGCACTTACTTGTGTCCATTTAAAGCTGCATGATGTAAAGCAGTATAACCTGAACTGTCTGTGCAGTTTATATTTGGTCCTCGCCAGATGCTGCAAATAAAGCACAATTGTAAAGTTAATTTTTTGGCTTGGCAAGTACAGCAATGTCAGAAATCTGATGTGTAAATAATCTGAAGATCTCTGCAACACGTATGATTAAACCTTAAGAGACAATTTATCCTGAAAAGAACTTAAAATAGCAAATGTCATGTTGATATCAATATAATTTATTTATAAAAATAATTTTACACATTCATCTTTATAGCAGTCATGAACTTTATGTAGGGCAGTCTCAAAGACTAATAACTATTCTGTCATTTCAATTAGATCTGTTCTCCCAGTATTACTCTGGTAATTACACTGAGGATATAATCTGATTTTGCACTACTTTTTTCACAGGTATATATTCATGGAGTTTAGGTCAGTTAGTCTAGATTCATACAAACGTAAGATTAGTGAGAACCAATCATATCCTTTAAAGGGACAGAAAACTTATTCTTTTTACTTGGCCTGATATTTTAGCTCCCATTTTAACCAACTACATTTTAAAATAAATTACTTATATATAAAACAAAAGTTTAATAAACAGTGTTGCTTTTTTGTTCTCTTTCTGTGTTTTACAGCCCTTATTTTACAGTTAGCTTCATTATACATCCTGTGTAACCAGTTTCACGGTCTATTATGGACTCTTCACAAAACAGTAAAGTAGATTTTTTGTTTCAAAGTAGAAAAATGAGACTGCTAATCTACCACTCCTCACTGTCCCGTCCCGCCCCCCACAAAAAAAAAACCCCAAAACCAAAAAAAACCAACAACAAACTCAAACCCTGGAAATGGGATACCAGAGGCATATTGAGTATCAGCAGGTTTTTCTTCTAACTGACTACATTTGAAGCTGACTGTATCATTTGTGGAAACAATTTTTTTTATTCCGTAACACAGTTTTCAACCATTAGTATTACAACAAGATTATGAGTCCTGAATTACAGTCTGTTTTCTTTGGCTTCTAATACAGTGTTAAACAGTCATTGGCAAGCCATATTTTCCTTTCACTTCATACCTTGGAATCAAGTGCTGCAGTTTAAAGAAAACAATCTGAAGCTAATAGGTAAAAAGAATTTTTCATACTCACATTTTTCATGATCTACATAAATAAAATGACATGTCATGCTTAACATACGCTTTTTAAGAATTCTTTACTACTGAATCTGTATTTTATTACCTATGGAATACTGACATTGTAGACTGGTGTCTTTTTCATTGTGTGTGTTTGAATGATTAATTAGCTCATAAATTTAAGCAGTAGTTTTCCCATAAGTAATACTGCATGCATACAGAATTATTTCTCTGATACATTGTGTTCTGCAGCGAGTATAATTCTACATAGTGCTGGGTACCTCACCTCTCCCTGCAATTTAATTTCTTGTAAGAACAGGACTGAAATATTTTCTTGGGTGCAAAGAAACAAAAAATGAAGTATTTTTTTTTTTTAATCTGCTCAGAAGTCTACAGATGTTCTTTTCCACAGAAGGCAACTTCCAGCTAGGAAAGGCACTCTAATCTTTCCAATTAAAAGAAATTATTTTAACTTCAAGACGTAGTAAAAATTGAGTCCTTGAACCGATAGCTCCTCCATAATTGTCAGATGTCATTTACATGGCAGACAGGATGTCTTTATCTATTGGAAGGAAAGAAGTCCTCGTCTATCGACATTCTATAATCTCTTTTATACTTTTGCACAATACTTTGTTAGTTATTTTCTTATTTATTGGATTCTACTTTCTTCCTTTGATTTGCACCAGCTTATAGGAGAATGAAGCAGAAAAAAGAAAAGTGGTATAGAAAGTCGTATTTTAAATATTAAACTAAGCACATAAGTGACCGGAATATTAATTTACTTGGTTTTGCTAGCTTGCTTGCTTTGGCTTACAGTTGCTAGGATTTGCCTGTTGGTTGTTTTTTCAAAAAGCAAGGGATCCATGAGTTCATCTATTATTCATGATGCATTAGGCCTTTAAAAAAATTTAAAAAAAAATAATCACAGAAACCCAACCAAAACCTAGTTCTTTTTTCCCCTAATTTTCTCCTTTAATCTAGGCACTCTTTAATGCATTGTTGTACTTCCTGACTCTGGTCTTGTGAAATACTTTTCAACTGAAACTACATGGATTTTTTTTTTCTACAAACTGAAACTTTATTAATGAGTGTATAAATGCATCTATGTGAAGCTCCTCAGAACACTCACGTTGGGAGACAAAGGACAAAGGAGCGTGAGTAAATCCTGCTGACTCAGAGAGATGAGACAGGATGCACAGACTAATCGCTGTCAGCTCCCAAACAGTACAGAAAGACACGCTCAAAATCAGAACTCGGCTAGCAAACGAAAGAACACAGCAGACACGAGCAGGGCTTGGCTGCAGGCATCTCTTTTCCCTCCGGCCAGTGCAGAAAACCCCTCCTAGGAGGTCTTGCATTGCTACAGTATTGCAACACTATTTCCTACAAAATGAACTGCAGGTTCACTATATACACTGGATATTTATGCTTTAATAACTGACAATCAAATTCAAATTGGGCAGTCTGTGAATAGAAATTCTTACACCCTAAAACTCCCAGCTGTGGTGAATAGTTCACCTAAAGCTTTTCTCTTGTAATCACAATAGAGCAAGGCAAAAGTCTAGTGGTGTATTAGTGCCGTAAAAAGCAGCTGACTTCAAAGAAAAGTGGGGTGGAGAAAGAGAGAAAGCCTAAAGAGCCTTTCTTTGGCATCACAAACATATACAATATATGAGGAATTATCATATTGATTTATCTGTGTATTAAAACACTTCAACAGTTACTGTGAAAGCAACACTGAGAACCTGGAACAAAACAAATTACCATTCAACCTCCAGAAAAAGATATTTGTTGACAGAAGATTAGCAGCTCTTTAGATTACTGTTAATACTGAATTTTCTCAAAAATGTTTCTCCTAATTTTTTGATGCAGTCAATAATCAAGCTTCTTAATTTTACATGCATTAGTAAGTTAGGAATTTTTTTTTCCTATGTACATCAGTAAATTAGGAAAACCTTTCTATGACTTAATGAATTTTAAGAAAGTAATTGAACATACTTTTTGTGCAAAAAAGCGGTTTTCAGTCAATGATGAATTAACATCCTGAATTAAAACATGATCATCAACTAGTTTCTTCCATTATAACTTGCCAAAGTGAGGCACAAAGAAACTGATTGCCAAAAGCAGAAAGACCTTATTACAGTTTGCTTTCACTGTGGACAAAGAATATTGACCTTTTGAACTGATGTCAAATATTAATGGGAAATACTCTTTACTTAGTAAGAAAATTAACTTTTTTTCTTTTTTATGAGCTGAAGATAATTACATATAAAGAGCAGCATTTCAAAAGTGATATGAAAATGACAGACTAAAGAAAAAGACGGCTAGTTGATTGATTTGTTATTTTGCTATGCTTTTCTCTATATGGAAAAAAATAATTGTGAAGTGGCTGTTGTTACACACATATGAACACAAAAGCAAGGAAATCAGAAGTTAATTCAGTTAATCTTCATCACACAGGCACACTCCCTATCAACAGGACAAGAACCATGCATACATGCACAGAATTTCCATCACAACTTTACATCTGTTTCCATCATATTTCCCCTCTGTACATATACTTTCATTATATTATTTCATTATTATTTAATTATCCATGCACTAATATTTATGTCTTTATATGGTAGTTTTCCTGAGGTGAAAGGAAAATATTTTAGCAAAACAATGATAAGAGTCATTAAAAGCCATAAAAAGCTGCCTGATGACATCAGTGTCAATCTGTCCATTGGTTTCACGTAAACCTTATCTGATAACTGACTGGTAACTCTCTTTGGAATTTATTTCTTCTCTGAAATGAAGTGGCAAGGAAGAGGGTGACACTGTCTGGATGGAATCAGTTCCTCCAGCGGAGATGGATACAGCATGGTGGTCATGCCTGCATATTTGAGGGTCAAAACCCTGTTGAGGGCTGAGACAGGCTTAGTATATGCCTAGTCCTCAGCCCCCCCCTTCCTCTCCCCACCTTCTTTCTCAGGTCTTCAACATTTTTGGAAGCTCTTCCTAGAGACCCCCTGGCTCTTCAGGACTACAGAAGTAGTGAATCTCATCTTGCCACATCAGTTTTAATAGTGGGCAATCCTAAACTTTATCCTGTTTCCATTGATGTTGGTGGCAAACACCAACCAGCTCATATAAATCTAGTTTCCTTATTGTTCCATAGAATAAATATGTATTACAGGAACTTGTGTTGTTCTGAGCCAAAATCTTCCAAAATTTCTGTCTATTGTTGTTAGTCTGACAAAAACACGTTGCCTAAAGTTATTAGAGCACATAGCCAGGCTCCTATATTCATTAGTGCTCTGCCTATATTCATACACATTTTCAGTCATGTAAACTGAGCTTATACAAAATATATGGACAATTTTACAGAGCATTTTTGAAAATGCAAACTTTTACACAATAAGATGTATCATCAGTTATTCAGACACAAAATAATGATGTTATTTATAGCGAACAGCAGCAAAATAGCTCCCATTCTCTATTTGATGTACAAATAAATCATATAATTGACAACAACGTTGCTCTAACCTATGAAAATTAATGTTGTTACTTATCAAATATAGAAGTGTTTCATTTTAGTAAATATGGTATTTTTTTTATTTCTACAGATTCCTCTTTGATGGAATCCAGTGTTACGTAAGATATATTATCCTGTAAAAAGAATTTATGTCTTTTGCATGTATTGTTTTACCTATTATTTGCACTACTTCGCCGAATTTGAGATACACTTTCAATACTTCAAGGAAAGTAAATTTACATGTGCCATGTCCTCCACACAATCTTATTAAATTCCATTTCTATTTTCCTGGGTAAGGGACTCTATTCTGTGTGCATGTATGTACATGAGGGTCTGACTGCCAGCAACTGGGTCAGATGACAGGCTAGTGAGCCCATGTGTCTGTGTTGCCAGAAACTGGAGCAAATGAGGGTCTGGA